GGGGGGGGGCTGCGGCCCTCCCTTCCTTCCTCCCCAAAGCCCGCTATCAACAAGTCATGCTCCCTGCCGCGGCAGCAGGGCGCTGCAGGACGCACCCCGCCGGGCCCGACGATATCGGCTTACGCGGCGACCGTCTGTTTTTGTTTCGCGACAAATCCCCGACCGCATCGCACGCCGGACAAATCTACAACAACGCGGCCAGCGCGCCATAATGTAGCGCACAAACATATCTCTCTCTCTCTCTCTCTCTCTCTCTCTCTCTCTCTCTCTGCGTCATAGGCCTCCTCATCTCTTTCTCACTTCCCTTCCTCACTCACTCTCGCCACTCGCTCTCACCCTCTCACACACTCACCCTGCCACCCACCCACTCGCTCGCGTTCAGCCTACCCTCGGGTCAATTGGTGACGCCGAAAACTCCTCCTCTACCGAAATGTCATGGCGACTTCCGGCGCCCCCCCCCCCCGTTCTCTCTCTCTCCCTCCCTCCTCGCCCCTCGCGCGCTTCGAGACGGCGGCCCGACGGACCACTGCGGTGCGGCGTGCGCGGCGTGTGCAGCCTCCTCAGAATAGAAGTACAAGCTTTTGCTTTCTAAATGCAAGTTTGAAGAAAAGGGCAGAGCGAGAGGGGCGGGAAAGAGGAACACGACGAGAGTTGCACGCACAACGCCGCAAACAAAGAGAAGCCAGTATGTTTATTTTCAAATATCTGCGAAACGAAAAGTATAAAAAAAAGCTCACCAACTATATTTGTATCTTTTATTTGTACGAATTAAAGCAATCAGATCTTTTTCACACGTTGATTTAAAGACTACTTTTGTGCATCCATTTGTACGAAAGTACGCAATTTGGCGCACGAATTTGTATACAACAAAACGTGTTTACGTGCACAAACCTATAGGTTTAACTCCATAGTACGAAACGTTTGCACAGGAACATACAATTGTAGAAGACGAGGAAAGATTTCTCTTTGGTTGCTGCTTAAGTGGAAGGGAATTGCTAGCGTCATAATTTGTCGCCAACCGTGTGACGGCGTGTCCGCGCCGCGTCGGCCGTGGTGACGAGCGTGACGGACGACGCGGGGCGGGGAGGTGCCGGGGCTAGCCGCCAAACCCAGACAATTATCCGCCGTTTCGCAAACGCAAGGGCCCTCGCAAAAAATGATTTAAAAATAAATAAATATGTGTTTGTTTTGCTGTGTACTCCTCCTGGCCCCTGGCGCACTAAGTGGCCAAGTTCCACAGTTCGGCTGCTGGGCCGGCCGGCCTGCGCCCCTCCCCCGCGATGCACAGCGATGCTGTACACAGGGGATATGGGCGGGGGGGAAATGATTCGCGTACACGGCGGCCGCAGAGGCCGGCTCACCGGACCAGCGTGCCAAGAGGGAGGAGGGAGGAGGCGGCCGGGGGTGGAGGAAGGGTTACCGGCCAATAACCTGTTGCCGATGGATTCATCGGGTGGGAGGAGGGAAGGAAGGAAAGTACAGGGCAGCGCGTGTTTGAGGACCGGCGCGTTGTATAAATTCCTGCAGCTACTTTGCACGCTGCAATTCAAAACTCAACAACGGCGTTCGTCAACTTCTACAGTGGTTTTGTTCGTTTTGGTTAGGGAGGCGGTGGGGAAAAAGTCCCTTGGGGCAAAATTTTGACATTGTAAAAATTGGCACAATGTCCGGCGGCCGTCGTGTGTAGCAGGGGGTCGGGTTGTCGGAGGGCGTGGTATGGGCCAGAACGCGTTGCCACGGCGCAGTCACCCTTCCGCATCACGGCCCTGCTTGTTCTTCGGCCCGTCTCTGTGGTTCACCGTCAGGCGTGGAATATTCTTTTCCGTCGCGACGCGGAACGCGAAGCGAATCCAGACGGAACACAATGTGTGCGAGCGAACTGACGTGGGTGAAGCAAGGGCGATCTGCCCAGACTCATGACATAGTTACTAGTTTTGTTTGTATTTTAGTCGTATGTCGTGTGTGGTTTTTAGAGATTTTTTTTTCGAAATTTTACAACGTCTTTTGTGTAGTGAAATTTGTAAGTTTCCCGCGGGAAGGTTTCCCCCCCTTGAGGTCCTCGCCCCCGCGTGCGCCTGCTGCCCCAGATGCCCCGCGGCCGCGCCTGCGCAGTGTTTCAGGCCTGCCGGCCAAACCGCGGCATAAATTATGGATGCGCGCTTACAACAAGCGCGTGCCGTGCGGGACCCGCCGCACTT